TCTAGTTCTGTTTACAGGGAAAGACACTTGGTGACACGATTAGGTCTGCAAGTAAGCTTTCTACTACTGATGACAAAGTTTAAGTGTACGAGCTAAAGATCCAGGGTTGTAGACATGACCGAGTATGCAAGTAAAGGATTGAGTGGTATTGTCAGTTTTACACACCAAGTTCTGATACTGATGACAGGTTGTTTTGATCATTTCTCTGCTTCAATACCAAAGGTCTCTTGCAATCTACCGAAGCTTAGGTACATAGCTTATTCTAACCCATGACTAAACACCCTAATGCTACCTAGGGATTAGATTAGGTTAATCTTAAGGTGAAATAAACTCAGGCTAATCTGCAGATGAACCATACAACCATTTATGATATTCCTTCGGTCAGGTTAATACTGAAGACAATATATCTAAGGACGCTACGAAGGTAAACTCATGGCTGTGTGTAAACAGTACCGGTAATAACAATAAAATTAATAATAATGATCATCAAATCCCCCTCGCCGACAAAAATGGGACATATATGATAATTTAATGTTATGATTCCTATGACCCTGCCTTGACAACAAAATTATGCTGCTACTACAGCGTGCGGTCTACAAGGATGTCTTTGGTCTAACCTAACCTGACTGGACATATGAGTCATGATACATAATAAATACAAACTTCATAACAGTTCAGATCCTTCTAATCGTGAGAACGTCATATGAAGTGTGACTTCCAACTAGCCTAGCACAGCTGACAGTGGCCTCTCTCAGCCAGAATAACAGAGTTGCCCCTCGGCGCAGCCACCCACTATCTGATAACATACGATAACTCTAAGTAACCTCGACCGCATTCATGACTGACCCCAACTTCTACCATCCTCCACCATGGCCTGGATTCACCAAGGCTCTTACGATAATTCCCCCCCCCGGAACTGCAGGTATAGGAGCGCATCTAACAAGCCAACTTAAGCTAAGACATAAACGGGATTTTAAAAAGATCTTTAGATATATTTAAACACAATTGGTGATACAAGATCGTAGGTACCTGTCTGACCTGGACTACGACATACACACGATTGACATAAATGGCACCAAAACTGTGTCGAGATTATTACAATGACGATGCGTTCTCTTACCTCCAGTTGTATTAAACAAAAATCTCCCGAGGTTTCGTGATCACCTCTAAAAGAGCTTAAAGTGACTGGCTAATCCATAACATGCAATTCCTTCTTGAAACCAAGACCTCAGAACTTAGCAATACGAAGGATGATTATAAAGCTAAGACAAAAAAATCTCCAACAGTACTTTCGTTATGACGTGATAACTCCGTATATCTTGTAGGTTAAGGTGGCGCTTTTATACTTAAACCTGTACTTGAACTGATGCTTTTGAATACATTTTATAGTTCTGAGATTGAAAACTTTAGTGTTGTTTTTCTAGCGTAAATAATAAAACTCTGAAACCGAAATCTTCCTTCTGTCAATATGTTGATTAAAATGTCAGTCTAGAAACCAAAACCTTAAAACACCTTCGCTTCGTCTGCTTCATAACCAACCACACGACGCAGAACTTCACTGCTTATCTAGGACAGTAAATACATTCTTTATCCACTACGGATGTCGTAACAAACGTTTATCAGACGCTCGCAATGCTGAAAGTCGAAAACTGTTGTAAATACTGTATCCATCACTCTGTGTATTGAACGTTGGCGATACTGTACTAATAACTGGCTGGAAGTGGTATTAAAAGGTCTGGTAAAGGTGTGCTGTAGCCATCACTGTATGGGTACCAAACGCTCCTTAAACTCTAATTAAGAGGTACTGCGAGGGAGGGAGGGAGGCAGGGGTTCAGTGACTGGTGCTGAGTGGTGAGGGAGGGAGGCCAGGTTATCGACACTCCCACCAACTCGCCCAGTGCAAAGGTCGAGCACGGAAAAAAAGGGAACCACGGTATTCTATTCACAATAACCACAAAAACGTTCGAAATCACACACTTTACAAACTGGGAATGCATAAGTTAATTGAAGTTACCCTTGCCGAACTGGTGACAACAATCTGGCCCATGTTAGACAATATCGGACGGTATCAATATGTAAATAAAGCATAGTTTATGCGGCCCTCCAAGGAGCAAGTCCTTACGTGTTGGTATGTCGGTCCCAGTGTAGGGCTGAGGTGACCTCCCGCGCTTACCCTAACAAGCCCTCCCGCCCCCCAATACCTAACCCCCCCTTGACCTCCTCCTCAGCCCTAGTGAGCCTTTAAATGCCCGTAGCGCGCGCCCTCACACAAAGCACTAACTCACAACCCAACCGCAGACCCATTCCATTTGATTTGACTAATCTTTTATGCTAATATGGTTTCTATCCTCACTAAACTGCCTATAAGAGTCAGTTATCTACCTAGTAAATCAAAATATAGAACTAATGACACTCCCTAGGCAGTGTCAAATTATACGAACTGTATTTACGAGAAGATATAAATTAAACAATTACTTGTCCCCGGCCCCGTCATGCCTCCTCAGTTCCAGTTGCGGAAAACATATCGTACCCTCTTGGCTTTCACGATCGCATTGTATTGCCAACATAAGCGGGGCGTTTCCGAGCGTAACGCTGATTGTTCTTTTGTATCGTCGCACATTTTCGATCATTTTGGTAAATTTGTCGTGGGTTTGGTAACACTGGTGCTTAGCCGCTGCCGACGCGTGATATTATTTATGGACTATATCATTACATACCAATTGAATGGGAACCATCCCGTAATGAAATAACTGAGCATATTTAGTACAACGCCGGCGGAGTAGACCACTGACAGAATATAATCACCGTTAAATTCGTGTATGACTGCCCCCCTTCTATTGATTGTATTTGGTGATTCTTTCATTGGTGCTCCTGGGTGGGAGGGTGGAGGAGGAGGGAGAGCAGTGTCTGTGGGACAACTGGTGGTGGTGGGTCTTGTACCTCATGAACGATATTTGGCGGACGATCAAACCGTCTCTAATAGTTTTGGCGGACCTAATTTCGATAATGGAAAAGCTTTTGCTCCACCTCCAGCGACCCCGGCAAGAACTACCTTGTTTACCCGCAGGCTTTTGTGGGGAGTCACGCTGATATTATCATCCCGAGAATGCACTCCCAGTAAGAGGATCCACTTCCCTCACCCACCAACTAATTATCAATAAAAAATATAAAAAGATGACGGGGTTATAACCACTGGACAATTGCTATCAACAAAGAAGCCGAAAGGAAATTAATGGCTTATGGACTATACTCAACAAATACGGTTACTACACATATTGATGGAAATCGACGGGTGAAGGGAGAGTGGAAGAGGGTAGGAGAGGGAAGAGGGGGAGGGAGCGAGGTAATAGACCCAACAAAGAATGTCTATCCGGGGAGACTGGCTGAGCAGACCCACCACCAGGGTTAACTGTTACCGGGTGATGCCAGTCGCTTGTGTCTCTCTCTCTCTCTCCACCAATTAGCCCGAGTCGACGAAAATCAATCGTGTGTAGAGTGTAACGTCTCCCTGACAGTGCTTGCGTGAGGACCTATCACAGCACGCGTTCACTTACCCAACCATTTCCCTAAACCTGTACCCATTAGCCTAACATATTTCCCCCAAAGTGATCCACTAGCCAACATATTTCTCACCAAAGTGATCCACTAGCCAACATATTTCTCCCCAAAGTGATCCACTAGCCAACATATTTCCCTAAATCTCATGTACTACCCTTATATAATTTCCCCCAAATCAGCCACTATCTTGAAATATTACCCTGAGCACCTGTCATCACGAGACAATTTCCCCAAACACTCACGCACTTGTCTTCCCCAAAACACGTGCACTAATCTTCCCCAACACTCGTACAGTTATATTCCCCAGCACACGTGCACTAATCTTCCCCAACACACGTGCGCTTATCTTCCCCAACACACGTGCACTAATCTTCCCCAACACACGTGCACTAATCTTCCCCAGCACACGTGCACTAATCTTCCCCAACACACGTGCACTAATCTTCCCCAACACTGGTGCACTAGCTTAACACCCTCACAGTTCAACGCTCAACTGTCATCTTTCCCAATCTTCTTTTCACCTCTATGTCGCTTCTTGCGTTTGTTGGCATCTCCCACCTGTAAACCCTTGCGTCCATAAGTGCTCGTGACAGTCGATCAATAAAGCACTGTTATGAATACTTGTTATATAATGTAATTCAACAGGTATATGGGATGTCTTTCAGTGCCAATCATTACATCACACAACGTAATTCACTCAATATATTTGTTTTCTATTACGCTGGGCTAAACCTCAATAAACGTCATTGTATGTATGAATGCATTAATAAACACTAATAAGCTTGACCAACACGCAAGAACACTACTGTGAAAAAGCATATTCCGGTTCAATGTGTTCACTGGAGTGATTGTTCTCCGAGTTGTAACCAATATCGAATTTCACAATTTGCAAGCATGTCCAACCTCCAATTACATTCACTTTCCAATTTTCGTAATGTATCTATCGTAATACACTACTTTCCAATGATAATTACTCCTATACGATGATTTTTTTTTCTTCTTACAACTAAGCCAATTTCTTTTTATTCTGTTCAAGCAGCACAACAAACCCTTTCACCATAAAGTTCGACGTCACAGATTTCACCAACACAATGAATAAGCAATAAATCAGATGACATTATCGACAGGACACGAACAAACACTTTATCCTACCACTTTCATCTCTACAGTGGTGTAAATGTTTATATTATTGTTTTTTTGTAAGATTAAACACATGGTTGAGGCACTACAGTAATGTAAATATTTTGCTGTAATGTGTTCTCGTAAGATATACCAAGGTTAAAGACAGTAAAGGAGTGAACGAAGTAAATATGCTATTATTTTCTTATAAGGAAGAGGCACAAGGCTGAAGACACTACAGTACTATGCAAATATATCAGTTTTCTTTTAAGGTAAAACAGAAGGTTGGGACACAATACTGAGCGGGTCAGTCGGATACTAACCTCTCTAGCTGAAGGCTAAACATGTCCATGGCCAACAGTGGCCAGGCACTCTACGCGGCCAGCGTGCTTCACCATCAGGAGGGTGAGCCACGCCAAGCCACGGGGTCACACGTACCGCTCAGGCCAACCTCCGTTGACCTGCCTTAAATCCGATACGACAAGTCCCTTCACTGAATGTTGGCGGGGGGAGCCCACGGGCGGGGAGCCTCGGTGCACCACACTCAGTTCACAACTTATTGACAGATCAAGTACTGTATCAAATCCTTCTGGCAACCTTGAAGCAATATAGCACCTACACACTCAGTCCAACACTCAAGGATGTTTTCTTAAATCCTTTAGGTTAAGTAGTAAATATCACTTCATTCTCTTGTGAGTACACACAGGGAGGGGAAGAGAGTGCACCCCGGGGCTGGGTAGGTCAGCGTGCACCTCAGTATAGCTGGGGTCACACCCTCCAGAGCTCACACTAGTAGAGGGGAAACTTGCAACCCCGAGTCAAAAGGAGGGGTCAGGTGAGGTCAAGAGTCGATGCCTCCTCCTTTTAAAGTTAAAAGTGTGTTGGGTGGTGTGTGTGAAGGGGGCGCAGTAGCCACTGGTGTGTCCTCAGAACACTGCGAACACTGGATACACGGGCAGCATTGAGAACGCTCCACGCAAGGTACGATTATTATCCACTGTTCCCGTGATGCTGCTCGAAGGTAATCACTTGGTCACCACACTTTGTACCAGACATACGCTGCTGGGACCACACATACCTGGGATCAATTATTATAAACTTTATATTCCCGAAGAAAACACACCACTTTGGATCAATCACTTTCGACACTGTTGCTCAAATGTTTATGTAACTGTAAATTCCAGTTTGCTATTGAAGAACTTCACTAATTAGTACACTGTTGTATTTGACATTTATTCATTCACAAGCCTTTTGTATATATCTTGTTTATTTTGTACACAATTGATACTCTTTCTTCTATCAATTCACATCTGATGTTTTGTACAATTACTTTATCTCAAAGTTAACAATCAAGTGAGTTTCAACACACCACAGGGCACTTAAAACTTTGGACCAGGATAGTTGTCCACGTATGTTTGGATCACTGTTGCGAGCCTCTGCTTCACTGCACAAATGAACTCTGTTTGTAACTACAGCCAATAATATAACCCAACAAAACTCACAAATATGTCAACACCTTTATCAATCACAATATATAAGCATCCATGGGTTGCCGAGGAAATATCCTTGTTTACATGTATGACAGGAGAGCGGCCACGTTCACATAACAAGCCAGTCTCGTGGGGAGTGAGGCAGAAGGTGGCACAGAGAGACAACGATCACACGTCTTCTCCTGGTCGGTCAACAGAGGTAACTGGCGGCTGAGAGCGACGTACGTACGGACGGCTGGCTGGGTTGGCTGGCTGGCTGGCTGGCTCGACCACCTCCCACAACTCTCTGACTTGCTCCTCAACTAACCAATCTATTACCCTAAGTGGTATAATTAATTTTTATTGTCATGATATCTTAATTAACATAATTTGGGAAAAGTTTATGCCATCGAAGAGGAGCTGTAACCGCGATAATAAATTGATATGACAAAAAGAAATTGATAGTTTGTGAGGTGAGCGTTGTGCGGCAAGGAACAAATGGCATCTCACAGTGCGGGGTGCGCCGAGACTCGCCGACATATGCGCCTCTTTTCTAATTATTTTCACTTCCTCTTCTCTTTCACGCAAGGAAATGTTACAAACACTCAAGGTTCGGACACCCGGGAGCTTTATACTTTATTACTCCCGGGAAGTACGGCTAGCAAGCGCCCATAGAAGCCGGAACATGAAAATCGCGATACATTCTTCAAGAGGCTGATAAACTCTCGAGTGACGAACATCTGGCATCCCAGCCCGGGCCCGTTGCCACCACCACCCTCACACGATGATTGCTGTTATCTTTATTAATACGTTTATTATTGTCTCAAATATCTACGCTAATTTACCCAATCGCGCACAATTAATCTGCATAATTTGGCTTTACCCTAGATTGGTAAAGGGCAATCCCAGACCCACCTCGAGGCTGGAAAAATGTATAAATATACCTAATCAAAATCGATTGGGACAGAAATAGATGAGCAAAAAGAGTGCGGTGGTAGTTGTAAGCGTAAAAATGGTCGCTGGGACCCGCTTGGCTGCTCCCTGCCGACTGTGACACGCAGAGACGAAACAACACACCCTAACAGACCTGTGGGGGAGGGAGGGGTAGTGCAGATCCTCCACACTCCTGAAAGAGGACTCAATCACCAACTGTTCATTACCGACCAGGACAAAGTGTGTGTGTGTGTGTGTGCGTGTGCGTGTGTATATTTTGCATTTCTCGTCTTTTTTTGTTTGTGTGCGGGCATGTATGAGTGCGTTTTACGTGAATGTGTAATGCATGCATGTATGGGCGTACAATGTGTGTGTGTGTCCTTGTTTGAGTGCGTGTATGCGTTCGTGCCTATGTATATATGTATGTATGTATGTGTGTATGTATGTATGTATGTATGTGTGTTGTGTGTGTGTGTGTGTGCACATTATGTACGCCCATTCACGTGTGTATATAATCGAACACAACCTAAAACACACAAACTAATTAAGTGACCGAAATTTTTGTCTCCAACAAGGGAGGAGGACGATGAGGAGAACGATTATATTCTCTGGAGATTACAGGAGTTATTGTTTGGAGACACAGAGAAATGGCGCTTGGAGACCATAGGAAACAAAGTGCTTGGAGACCATAGGAGAGATAGTGCTTGGAGACCATAGGAGAAATGGTGCTTGGAGACCAAAAGAAAAATAGTGCTTGGAGACCATAGGAGAGATAGTGCTTGGAGACCATAGGAGAAATGGTGCTTGGAGACCAAAGGAAAAATAGTGCTTGGAGACCATAGGAGAAATGGTGCTTGGAGACCAAAGGAAAAATAGTGCTTGGAGACCATAGGAGAAATAGTGCTTGGAGACCATAAGAGAACTAGTGCTTGGAGACCATAGGATATGTAGTGCTTGGAGACCACAGGAGATATATCTAGAGCTTGGAGACCATAGGAGATGTAGTGCTTGGAGACCAGAGGAGATATAGTACTTGGAGACCATAGGAGAGATCATTCTTTGAGACCATAGGATATATACCTAGTGCATGGAGATCATAAGAGATGTAGTGCTTGGAGACCATAGGAGATGTAGTGCTTGGAGACCACAGGAGAGAGTGTTTGGAGACCACAGGAGAGTTAATGCATTAGGGAATCACTGCTTGGAGAACAAAAAATAAGGCACAGCTCACAGGTCCAGTGCTTGGAGACCAATCTTTCGGAGGCCATTGATCTAAAGCCAGGAGACCGGAAGAGGAGACTCACCATCACTTTCAAGGTCACAGAGCAAGCTGGTTCATGATCTGGAAACCAAAGGCTATTTTTTTAATAAGACCGGGAGACCAAAGGAAAAGACCTATTGCATGGAGACCACAGGGGTAAGAATCACGGTTTTGGAGACCCCGGGAAGACAACAGTCAAATTTGAAGACCCACACAAGAGGTCCTTCAAAAGTTGGAGGCCACAAGAGGTCCGTTATACGTTGGAGGCCACACAAGTAATCCGTCACAAGTTGGAGACCACATAAGAAGTCCGTCACAAATTGGTGGTCACACAAGTAATCCGTCACTCGTTGGAGGCCACACAAGTAATCCGTCACAAGTTGGAGGCCACACAAGTAATCCGTCACAAGTTGGAGGCCACACAAGTAATCCGTCACAAGTTGGAGGCCACACAAGTAATCCGTCACAAGTTGGAGGCCACACAAGTAATCCGTCACAAGTTGGAGGCCACACAAGTAATCCGTCACAAGTTGGAGGCCACACAAGTAATCCGTCACAAGTTGGAGGCCACACTTTAATGAATTGCTAAGTAGAGACCAATCACAGGTAGGAGGGGACATGTAGGTACAAAGGTGAGTAGGTAGTCAGGAAGGAGGAGAGAGGGGTTATTTTATAGGGAGGGAGGGAGGTAGGTAGGTAGGTGGGGTGGTAGGGGTAGGCAGGTGGGTGGGTAGGTGGGTGGGTGTAGTAGGGAGGCAGAAGGTGGAGAGAGGGTGTTTCAGGAATGGGGGGGTGTTACATAAGGAAGAGAAGGACCCACTTGAGTATGATAATTGGTTCGTGATGTCCTTGGCTGGTCGAGCGCTGTGCCGGACTCATTGTGTATGTTGTCAGCCTTCCTCACAACACACTCTACCGGTAGTGTTAGTTTACCCCCACAACCTAACTTAGCACTATCATGTACTGGGTGTTGTATCACTGTGTTTATCCAGGCAGGAAGCGTTATACTGTGTACTTATCAAACCTACCAATATTTCTCATTACTTCCCACTAATCAGTAATGTTATCAGTAAGGCTTCTTCTGTGTGCGTGTGTGTGTGTGTGTGTGTGTGTTATCAGCGTGACAAATAATATCTCTACCATGTCTGTACAGAGCAAACACACACACACACACACACACACACACACACACACACACACACACTATGAACATAAACACTGTGTCATCTCTCCTTCCTAGTGGGTGATCACCTGAAGTTTAACCTCCCCTAGGTAATTACACCTTGATTAAATACCCTAACGCTACTATACCTGGACTAGGTTGGATTACAGAGTGTGTTGAATTGGATTAGCTTAGGTTATAGATTAGGTTATAAGTTAATGTCTATGTTGTAGGTTAGGTTAGGTAATGGTTAGGTTAGGTTACGTTAGGTTAGGTTAGGTTAGATAATGGTTAGGTTAGGTTAGATTAGGTCAGGTCAGGTTAGGCTAAGTTAAGTTAGATTAGGCTTAGTAAGAGTGGCTAATCTTAAGGCGAAATAAACTGGGGGGGTGGGGGTTAATCTTCACATGACCCCCAAAGCTAACAGCGTCCTACAAGACAACACCACGGACTGTGACCTGAGAACTTATCATTAAACCTGAGAGTAGGAACGAAATCGAGGAGTCATTTAAAGCTTGTTGTGCGTGGCTGGCAGCTATCAGGAGTGACAAATACAGGCAAGATGGCATTGTCTCGTCTTATCAGCTAAGATTAGATAAGTTATGGGAACCTGTCAAGATACTGAGTCGTTAAGAGGTACTGTAGTTAAGTGATTGTGAGAGCGCTATTAAGGCTGTTACAGGTGCAGGTAGGACACTTTGTTTCTGTATAACCTAACCTAACCTTAGCCTAACCAAAACCTAACCAGAACCTAACCAGAACCTAACCTAACCTAATCTAACTTAAGCCTAACCAAAACCTAACCAGAACCTAACCTAACCTGTATATCCACACACAAGTATTAGCCACATATACTTTCAGAATAAAAACAAATCGTAAGTTTAGTACTGCGTTCTTCATTCGATACGCCACGTAGGTTGCGTAATAGTCACGGTAAGAGTAGACAAGACATTTAACATTCTACTAGAGTACAATATGTTAACATTTTACTAGAATACAATATATTAACATTCTATTAGAGTACAATAACATAAAATAAATAATGACATCAGTATAATTATCAACATCAAATTAACATCACTTAAGTAAATTATAATACGTTATAAATATAAACGTAATTATCATATTCTAACATTTATTAATCATGTTATGTTTACAGGTTAAATACAGAGGAAAATCCTGTATAAAAATGACTAATTGAAAAAGTATAATGTTTTAATATTTAACTGATTTCAACAAGAGCGTGATTGGTTACTGAGGCTTATTATTGCTTATTATATACAGGTAAACGATCACGAGGGAGGGTGAGGTAGGGTGAGGGAGGATAGTAGGTGACGGAGGGTGGTAGGTGAGGGAGGATAGTAGGTGACGGAGGGTGGTAGGTGAGGGAGGGTGGTAGGTGAGGGAGGGTGGTAGGTGAGGGAGGGTAGTAGATGAGGGAGGGTGAGGGAGGGTAGTAGGTGAGGGAGGATAGTAGGTGACGGAGGGTGGTAGGTGAGGGAGGGTGGTAGGTGAGGGAGGGTAGTAGATGAGGGAGGGTGAGGGAGGGTAGTAGGTGAGGGATACGGTCGTTGCATAGCTATACCCGGGAAGGTAGGGAGAGAAGGGAAGGGAGGGAGGGAGGGGGCCAGAGGGAGAGAGTAAGGAAGGAAACGAGACATGAAGAAAGGGAAGGAGAGAGGGAGTAACGTAGAGATGAAGGAAGGAAGGAAGGGAGGGAGAGAAGGAGAGGAGAACACCACAGACGAACACACAAACAACAGTAAATTGGTCGCCAACTTTCTCTACAGCAGTTTAATTTTCTCTCTCTCTCTTTTTTCGCTTTCTCATTTTTTTTCTTGTTCTCGTTCTGTCTCCCTTCTTTCCTGGGCCTATTTTCTGTTTTTTCTCTTT